AAGACGCATTCAGTTCAAACCCTGGTGACCCCCAAATCAGCCAGATGACCGTAGATAAACTGCTTGGCCTCAGTGGCTTCGTCAGATTTCTATCCTGCAAGTGGTAGCTGGGGATGTCCGTGAGTACGTACGTACACTATGCCGACTTTCTGCTCCACTGTGTGCCTGCTGACAGAAGCAGCAGCACCGCACTTTCCTGAAACCTAACCTAGGGACAGGTGTTTCCTCCACCTTCCCATGGGTGCTGCTGGCCACGTCAGCCAGCCTATGGGAAAGTGGGCAGCGGGGGCGGATGAGTACATCCCAGTGAATGCCAGCTGACAGGGCTCCATCCTCCTCCATGAAGGAACAGTGGACATGCTGCAAGGCTCCTCTGTACTCTGCCCTCAAATCTTCTGCAGGGCCCACACCAAGCCACACAACCAATAAATTGTTGAAAGTACGAGTGAATGAGAGGAAAGGAGGATGGAACCAAGGGCGCCAAGATCAAGCAGCTTCCGGCCTCCTCCTCTGTGGGCCCATTCATAGGGAGCACGCAGCCTCTCATCCACCAGCCTGGTTCATCCTCAGCCTCACACATGAATATTCATGTGCACAGGGAGGCCATCCCAGAACTAAGCCACTGGGGCACTGGGGGAGGGGGGGTGTCACCTGTTACCACCAGAGCGGAAGACGGCCTGTGTCCTGGCCCAGAGAGAGGCCCCGAGCTGGCCAAGGCCTTCTGAATCACCAGGCTGTGAGCCCTGCTCATACCAGGTGGCTTCTTTGTGTGTCTAAACAGTGGAGGAAGTGCCCCACTGACCTGGCAGGCTCCAATTTCCCTCCCCTCAGCCTTAGCATTTCCTCCCAAGGCCACTTGGCCAAGCTGCCTCCAGTGCTGCTTGGAAAGAACTGGTAATAACAGGGCTCGCTACAAGCAGTGGCTTTCAAAACAGCGTTTCTTTCATCATCAGGGTGCAACCACGGATGTTTGAAAAGAGACTCTCTAATCTCTCTAATTTAATAATGTGTTTCGGGGCAGTGGGGTGGCCCTGAAAACACACATAGCGGATTTTACTTGAGACTAATCGGGAACCTGACACCACATCTTGCTCAGGAGCTATGTCCTGGAAGATGGAAGCAAGGAGACTGTAGCCATGCTCCAGTGGACTTGGGAGCTGGTATCAGATCATCCCCTGCAACACAGTTGAAAGCAGCATGCTAGACGCACAAAAGCACCTTGTGTACAACAGGCCACTGGGTAATGGTGGCACAGCCCTGGCCCGCCCACTGGAGCACGCTGGTCAGTGCGTCATGCCTGCAAATGCTCATCATAGAGTGCAGGCAGAAGTCTCTCTCTCTCTCTCTCTCTCTCTCTCTCTCTCTCTCTCTCTC